GATGGTTGGGGTAGTCACACTGTCACTCAGGAGGGCTTCTCTGCTCTGCTCCACGGAGAACACCCTCAGGCAGAGTGTTACAGTGCCTGTGTGTGTGTGTATGTATGAGTGTGAGTGAGTGTATGTGTATGTGTGTATGTGAGTGTATGAGTGTGTGAGTGTGTGTGAGAGTGTGTGTGTGTGTGTGTGTGTGTGAGAGAGAGAGAGAGAATGTGTGTGAATGTGTGTGTGTTGTGTGTATGTGTGTGTGAGTGTGTGTGTGGGTGTGAGTGTGAATTTGTATATGTGTGTGAGTGTGTGTGCATGAGTGTGTGTATGTGTATGTGTATGTGTATGTGTATGAGTGTGTGTGTGGGGGGGCAGTGAGCATAGAGGGGACATGAGCCAAGCATTGGCAGTGTCTCCTACCGAACTCAAGCTAGAAGAGCAGCCAGGTGGACACATATGGACACGGGAGCCCAGAGAGGGCAGGAAGCAGGCTCCCAGCCGCCCAGAAGGCATTGTTACAACTCCTGGAGCTGACCTGAGGCCTCCTTCCCCTAAGAGGGAACACTCTCTACCACACTGCCCGGCCATCCCCAGATTGACCTCCTCCGTATGGGAAGGGCTGTTCTCTCAATCACACTCTACCGCCTGCCCCTCAGCACCTGCCCACAGCTGCCCTCCACGCTCCCCAAGCTCGAGGGTGTGAAACCAGCTCTTTCAAACATGCATCGCCCTTATTCCGGGAGCTGCAGAGGCCTGAGGCTTTGAGTAGAGGCATGGAGAGGGGATGCCCTTCGAGAACCCTCCATCTAGGGGTAGCCATCACACCCAGCCCCCATGGACAGGTCCAGTCTATCCACAGCCCACGTCACCTCTCCATCTTCTGACAAGCCAGGAGCAGGGAGGTGGTTATTTTGTTAGTCCTCACCAGAGGATATTTTTCCATTGATTTTTTTTTTTTTTTTTGAGAGAGAGAGAATGAAAGGGAGAGGGGGACAGAGAGAAACATCAATGTGAGAGTGACTCATCAATGGGTTGCCTCCCATGCATTCCCTGACCAGGGCTGGGATCAAGCCTTGACAGGAATCAAACCCGGGACCTTCAGTCCATGGGCCCATGATCTATCCACTGAGCCAAACTGCCTAGGGCAGGGAGGGTGGTTATCTTCATCAGATAGGGTTCCTTGGGAGGAATGCCCTCCCCAAGGTCACATAGCTGGCACAGCCTAACATATCTGCAGGAACAGGGGTCTGTTTTCAGATCCTGTGGCTGCCAGCTCACCTGTGCCCACCTGTACGCTGGCACCATGCATGGGAAGGAAGGAATGTTAGCTGGTGACCAGAAGCTTGGCTGTTTGACCATGGGCTCCTCAGGGTCAGGACCAAGGTCAGATTCACTTTCATGGTCCCCCAGCAAGTGATTGGCAGATAGGAGGCCGGTCAGTCGGTGTCTCATCACAAGGTGGGGTGACAGCAGCCTCCGGTAATCTGGCGATTATACCTTTGAATGCTGGAATAATATAGTAACTCAGATTGTGTCTTCATAATACATTTTCATATTAATTCAAAGAATCCTCATAGCAACCGTAGGCCCAAGAAAACTCAACTAGTAAGAGACAGATTAGACCAGCTACATAATTGGTTGTGCAAAAATAAAACCACAAAAAAAAACACCCTTTTTGTAAAAAATATTAAGATGGCGACAAGCAGAATAGTAAAGCAATACAGGAGCCCTTCTGAGCGAGAGGCTCCCCGTGACTGCTGGGGTGTCATGCCTGTGAAGCTGGGGCCCTGGAGACAGAGCTGGGACATGAACCTGGGCAGTCTGGCTCCAGAGCCTGAGTCCTTAAGTGCAAAGCTATCCTTTCTTCCCACACTGGGCATAGGTTAAAAATCCTCATCTGGGCTCGTCTCTAAAGTCAAGGCCAGAGGCACCATTTGGCTGAGGGTGATCCTCTGCTGCCCTCTTGTGTTCAGCATCCAGATAGCCACACCTGCTTCAGGGGTGGAGCCAGGATTGCAACTCCAGAGGAGACCAAGACTCCCAGCAAAGTGCCTAGATAGCAGTGACTGCCCGTTAGGGCTAAGGCTAGGGCTAGGGTTAGGATTTCCATCCTAACTCCACTACATGCACCTGATCAAGCTTTGTTTACTTGCAGCCTATATCACTTGGGCACGTGGGGCCACGTGTTCGGACCACAGGTTCAAGCTTACAACCACAGCTGTTGGCTATCATTGTGCTGGGAGGGTGAGGGTGAGGGTGAGGGTGAGGGTGAGGGCTAGGGCTAGGGATAGGGGTATGGTTAAGGCACAAGGTTGGGTTAAGGTTAGGGCTAAGGCTAGAGCTAGGACTAGCATTGGGGTTAGGGCAGTTAGAATGAGTCTGAACCCTGGTGACTTTCTAAGCATCTCCGGGCCACCTCAGGTTCCAGGGCATATCCCGGCGCAGGCCTCACTGAAGCTCTTCTCCAGAACCAGGGACACCTCATCATCCTAACATAGACACGTTTAATTGTGCTACACCAGCACGGCCAAGGGTGAGCCTGAATGGGGGCGGCTGAAAGGCTTAGAAAAGGCAGACAAGAGAATGAAAGCTGAGTCTCGGTGGGATGCTGTTTCCTGAGAGACAGCATGGATGTCCACCAGCTATGTCTTTATTTTACAGCCAGATTTCCACCAGGCCAGGTAAGGGCTTGATCAAGATGTTTACAACGTTCTCATGAGTTTGGATCCTACTCAACTACATGCACCTGATCAAGTTTTGTTTACTTGCAGCCTCCATTACTTGGGCACGTGGGGCCACGTGTTCGGACCACAGGTTCAAAAAACACCGTAGCCGCACCCCACATGTAATCATCTTGCTTCTTGGCACAGAGCCCAGATGGAGCCTCTCTCTGGCATAAAGACCAGAGAGCACGGGATTGGGGGGTGCTTGCAGGAAGCCAGCAAAGGTATTTTCCCTGGGAGACAGAGACCTTCTGTGGCCATGGCAGGAGGTCTTTAACTGCTAATTAAAGGCCACTAACACGTGGCCCCACGTGCCTGAGTGATAGAGGCTGCAAGTAAACAAGGCTTGATCAGGTGCATGTAACTGAGTAGGACTGAAACACATGAGAAGGTTGTAAATGCTCTCTCTTCCTAGGTGATCTGGACAAATTATTTCTATTTCAGCACACTGTGGGCCCTTACATATGTGCATGTACACTTACACAGGAATGTATGTGTTTAAGGATGTGTGTACACAGGTGTGTAGGCACATGTACAGGTTACATGTATGGCTATACATATAAATATGTTACTTTTATATAGATATAATAAAGAGGGTGTTGGTGCTGGTTGAGGACCGGTGGCCCTACCAGCGAGGCCATGCTATGCCTTTGTGTCTGGGGCTCAGGGAGATGGCCTGTCAGAGAGGTTAAGAGCACAGACTGGACCCAGACTTCCTGGGTTCAAATCCCAGTCTCACCAACTAGTAAGTTCTTTCATCTCCGTGTGTCTCCGTTTCCCCCAGTTGTAAATGGGGTTACTAATACTCCTCAGGGGCCCATCAGGAGGCCTCCATGAGATAGACCCGTGAAGCAGGAGGCAGAAGAGAAGTCCACGTGTTTGCTAATTGAAGGCCATCTGGGTGCGTTGGCCTTGCCCAAGGTGCCGATGGATGTGCTTTAGGTCTCAGTCCTGAGGGTCCCTGGCTGTGAGACTGGGGTGCCCCCAACCTCCCTTTGAACACGGCCAGGCCCTCCTTGCATCGTTTCGCTCTCACGTCACATGGATGTTTTTCTCCCTCTCCCTTCCTCTCTAAAAATAAATTCAAAAAAAATTTTTTTTTAAGAAAAATTCAGCTCTAGAAATGGAAGAAGCAAAACTGATAACTAGCCTGGTGTCCCCTGGTCTGCACGTTCCATTGAAGCATAAATGTGTCCACCTCGGAGCTGGGAGGAGAGATCCAAACCCCTTCCGCCTCTCGCTCCGAGGGATGTAAGCAACCATCTGGGTGAAAGCTGGGCCGCTCTGACAGATGCTCTCCGGTAACAGCTGGGGGCTGATCAGAGACAAGCCTATGCAATGCACAGTGTCTTACACTCAGGGCAGAAAGAGCAGACCCACGGCACAGGAACATCCTTTATTATATACATTTATTTTTCCACGAAGAGAACAGCTTGTGACGCCAGCCCACCCCAGACACAGAACGCTGCACGACATGGGAACAGTCCGTGACACGGCGAGGGCATCCCTGACTCCGTCCTTATTTACACAAGAGTGGGGACATGGGGGGGATGAGGGCGGGCACCCCAAGAGCATGTTCAAGGGCGCCCGGCAGTTGGGGCACGTCTCAGTGGTGGCCGTAACCACAGACCTGTGGCCCCCGGGACTCACAAAGTCATGGCCACGGGTTTCCTTCAAAGTCCTCAGAACAAAAGGGTGGGGCCTTATTTTTTAAATACCCAAGTGTTCCTGGCATCCGGCAAAGAAATATCGGAGAAAGTGCTGAATGTCTTAAAAAAAACAAAACAACAACAACCGCAAACAAAATTCTGGAGGCCAGATGATTGACAAGTGTCTGCTCCGTAGGCTATTAGTCACCAGACCACCCTGGAAAGTTCTAACGTAAGTGATGTGCTTCCTTCGTTGTAAACCTGGCACAAGGACATTGTCAGGGAAACATGGAGTTTTCTAAACTGGATGGGACCTTTGGCTTTTTTTTTTTTTTTTAATGGGCAAGGAACTTTGGAAGTCCAGAGAGATGCACTCCCTCTCCCAGGAACCCCACCAGTCAGCTGCCGCTCTCCATGCTGTGCCATTTCCACCACACAATATGCCCTCTCTGTTCTTCTCCATCCCATGGCTCCCAAAGGACAAACGAACACATGACGTGAGCTCGGAGGGCTTCTGGGCGAAGAGGTGACTTCTTTGGTAAGAATGCTTCAGCCTCGCGTGACCAGGGCTGCAAAAACTCGGATCCTCCCGCCTGGGCAGAACCCCCTCTGAGCATGAAGGCACCACCGTTGGGGGTGTTTACCCAGCAGGATATTGGGCAAGAGTGGGCCTCTCCCGCCTCCTTGGTCTCATCGGCCTCTGGGACGAAGGCCGGCTGACAGGTGGACACCAGGGTGCTGGCCGTGGTGAGGAGATGTTAACACGATGGTCTTAAACGGATATTGTGCATGGCGGGGAAAATAACTCTTTACAGATCTCGTAAAGTATCAGGTGTCATGCACGACACACAGGAGCACCCTTATCCCGCGTAACCTCTGCTTTAAAAAAAAGGGGGGGGGGGCGGAGCATGAAGAAGTGGAGCCTTAGGAGAACGCACGTTACTCGGGGATGGAAGACGACCCCACAGGTCTCCCCACGCCTCCCGGGAACTTTCAAGGGCCGCCAGGTGCCTCTGCCTGCCTGTCCCGGCTCGGGAGCCAGCTTCCGTCGAGAGGCAGCACCGTGGCATTGGTTTGGCGTCAGGTAAGCTAGCACCGCGTCCCCAATTCCCCAGGGGTGGGGTGGGGGGACCTGCCTGGAGACAGAGGGGTCACAGGCAGAGAAGGCGGAAAAGCTGCTGGCTCTCCCCCAGGTGCACCCTGTTCGGACCCCCGCCTTCCCCAGTCCTTCCCTGCAGCCAAGCAGATTCCGCTGTCACACATCCTGTCCCAGAGGGACTCTCGTCACCCAGACAGCCCCTCTGCCCCTTCCTCCCGGCCACCTGGGGGGGAATGGCATCGCTCTCCTCCCCCCTTCTCCCAGCGCCTTGTTCTTTGCTCAGAAACCCTAATCCTTGGCCCCATTTCTGTCTCTGTGAGCACAGCCCAGGGTGGGTGAGTCCTACAGCGCAGGGAATGCCAAAGTGCCCGGGGCTGGGGGTCAGGGAATCTGACTCCGAGGGTGCCTTCGTAGCTGAGAATCTGCAATGCCGGAACTTGTTTTTCTCACCCGGGAAATGGGGAGACAGCAGCCAGCCCTGCCATCCTTGTGGGGCGGATGGGGGCAAAAATGTTTTGTCAAAATCAGTATAACAGCCAGGGAGCAATGGCCCTTCCTGAGGGATTTGAGGTCACTCCTGGCTCCTTCCGTGACGGGCCACCCTGCTCCTGTCCTCCTCTCTCCCCCTCACCCCTACCTACTGTCCACTCTGCTGGCTGCTCCCAGGCCCCGCCTGCCACCGGGAGGCCTCCAGCACTGAGCTGAAGTTTTTATATGGAAAGATGGAAAGTCCCTCCATTTCCCTCTTCTCTCTAAAGCAGGGTGGGGCCCTCGGGCCCACGGGCTGTATCCTTTGGTCTGGCCCTGCCAAGGCAGCTGCAAGCAGACACCAAAATTCAATCCATCTGGGGCCTTTTTCACCGCAGCATGTTTAAGTGGATAATGTCGTGTGGCCCACAGATGTTGTAAAGATCCATGGCCCTCGGCAGAAAAAAGGCTCCCATCCCTCCTAAAGAATGCCCCTGGCTCAGCGGAACACCACCTCCCCGCCCTCAGCTGGCTCCCACAGAACCTCCTTCCACAGTCAGCACCATTGCCCGCCGACGGGGGCTCCGTGACACCCTACCTCGGTTTGTGAAGCAAAGTGGCCTCTCTTTTTCTCCCCAAGACCCTGCCGCAGGGACTCCCGGCGTCAGAGTAAGAACCCACACAAGCCTAGAGTTCCAACACGGGTGTAAGAGACTCAGATCAGGCACAGAAACCCCAAATCCACGCGGCCAGTGTAACCTATCTTTTCTCCGAATGAGCTGCAACTGACCACCACCGCCACCAGAGGGCGCCACTTGCAAGCCTCCATGGAAGTCAACCTGGAAATTCCAACCTGCTCCACCCATCCGGAATCCGGTCCCCTTAACCGGGTTGCTGTGTGTCCGGGCCCACCCTACCCTCCATGTACCAAGTGCCATCCATAGTGAGAGACAACCCCCGCCCCCCCATCCGTGGAGACCCCTGGTGCCCGCTGGGTGGGGTTTCCAGGGGACAATACATCAATAGACACCCTCAGGCACCGCCTGGGTACCACCCGGCCTGGGAAGACAACAGAGGGTCCACAGTAGGGACGCCTGTCTAGCCTCCCTGGGTTGCTGACCCACGTCTCCCCAAGGTCTCGGGAGCCACCGATGGGTTTCGGGGCTCCTGGGGCCTGCCTGGCCCCTCTGTAGAGGCTGCCCACTGGGGCTCATCTGTGTTCTTCCCCATGACAGCCGTGGTCTGGACCAGCTGACCGCCGGAGCCGAAGGATGTTCCAGAACCACCTCTCAGACTCAGCCAGAGTGAAAACCCGCGTGAGGTTTCTGTTTGAGGCCCCTAAGCCTCTCTCCACGGACCTCCCCCAAGCTCCCTGACCACGGTGAGACACCAGAGACCGGCCCCCGGGGTGGGGCTGGGGGAGGAAGGAAGGGGGCAGGAGACGGAGGGTCTGTGTGGGTCGCCCCAGCTCAGCAGGCATCCTGGTTGAGTTTGGTGGGTGGTGTCTGACGGTCCGGCGGGGTGGACCGAGGGTCTCTTCTTGGCGCGAGGACGAGCAGACGCGGTGGGGGGTTCTGCCTGCGCCGTGGGCTCCGCTGGGGCCAGCTGGCTCTCTGATTGAGAGCAACATTCCCCCCCGCCCCCCAACAAAAGGGGTTCCACTGAAGTCACCGTTCCTGTTCCCATCCCTCCGCTTCTCCCCGAGGCTCACCAGTCCGTGCTCACAGCCCCCGGGCCGGGCGGCGAACAGAAGGCGAAGGAAAACCAGGCCACAAACTCATGGGGGGGCGGGAGGGAGGGGGGCGGGGAGCGTCTGCCGGGAGAGGGATCCCTGACAGCGTCCGGGTGGTGGCGAGGCAGGCGCCTGGACCTGGACGCTGGCGGGCGGGGCCCCCCTCCTCCGGGGCCAGGTCAGATGGCCAGCCAGTGCTGCAACTGCGGAGAGACCTGGCCTCAGTGTCCGCCTGGGGTGGGGGGCACGGGGAACGGGCGGGGATGGGGGGACCCTGGGTCGGTTGGGGAGCAGCACAGAGGAAGCAGGAAAACACCCCTTCCCTGCAGGACCCCGAGGACGTGCAGGCTGATCCCCTCACGGCCACCGACACCCCGAAAGGGCGTGTCTGCAGCAGGGAGCTCACGGGGACCCTCCCCAGCCCCTGGCGGGCCGTGTCTGAGGGGGGAAAGGGTAGGACTCGGGTCACCCTAACACTGATGTGCTCAGGGCGCTTCCTTCTAGAGAAGACGCCCTCAGCTGGCCGGGACAACGCGCAGACAGAGCTCAGCAGAGCTGTGGCCTGGGCCTGCCGGGACCCAGGTGCAGAGGCCAGTGGACAGCTCGGCTCCAATCTGAACGCCAGACCCCGGGGGCCACGGCCGCTGCTGCTCTGGGACTCTGGCAGGGGGCGTGGGGTCCAGCCCAGGGCACCCAGCCCACGGCGGGGGCAGCCAGAGGGTCCCCCCACCCCCGCGGCCCCATCACGGAGGGCCCGGCGCACCCACCTGGAACTGCCTGACGTCCCGCTGGGCCACCAGGTGATGCTCGTTCTCGGGCGTGAGGCCGTAGGCCACTCTCTGGGAGAGGGTGGGGGAGGAGGGGTCCTCAGCGAGGCCCCGAGACACCCTCCCAGGGGCCCAGTGCCCTCCTCATCCCCCGAGACAAGGGCCACCTGCTACTTGGCCCTAAAGTCCCACACGGACAGTGTCCCGGAACACGGCAGAATGTCAGCATGGGCCAGGCCCCAAGATCCGTCCTACTGTCCCCAGGTCACCGATGTGGAAATTGGGGTTCAGGCCAAAACTTGTTTGGCTCAATGGATAGAGCGTCGGCTTGGGGACCGAAAGATCCCGGGTTCGATTCCGGTCAAGGGCATGTACCTTGGTTGCGGGCATATCCCCAGTAGGGGGTGTGCAAGAGGCAGCTGATTGATGACTCTCTCTCACCGATGTTTCTAATAACTCTCTCTCTCTCTCTCTCTCTCTCTCTCTCTCTCTCTCTCTCGCCTCTTCCTCTCTGTACAAAATCAATAAAATATATATATTTTTTTTAAAAAGAAATTGGGGTTCAGTGTGTCCGTCTGACCCTAGTCTCCCCTCTCACCCCTGCAGGAATGACTGGATGCCCCTCCCACGCCGCCCCCCGCCCCCCGCGGGCCCCAGCTCACCTCCCAGAGGGAGCCCCGCGTGCTCAGGAACTTGTAGACGATGTAGGCCGGCACCAGGACCATGGAGGACAGGGCCACGCCCCACCCCACCCAGTTGGCCCAGGGCGGGAAGACGTAGTCATCGTAGGTGAGTGGCTTGAAGTTGATGATGCTCACCACCACCACAAACTGAGGGGGCGGGGGGGGAAAGTGGAGAAATTGGAGAGGGGAGTGTGAGATGGATTATGGGGAGCAGAGAAGGCAGAGGAGGAGGGAAGAGAAAGGATTCAAGAAGCAAATGAGGACAAAAAGGCAACAAAGACACCGGAGCAGGCAAAGGAGGAGAAAGAAAGGTGACCTCGGAGCTGGGCAGGGCTGGGCACACAGCCCCCGGGGTCCTGGCCCCTCTGGAGACCCCGGGGGTGGGCGTCCCCATGGTGTCAGCGGCATGAGTGTCCCCGCGTCCTGCCTGTGCGGACAGGGCTCTGCATCCCAGAACCGCCTCCCCTAAGAAGCCAGGATGCCCCCCCCGTTCCACCCCCGAAAGCACCCTCACCCCCACACCACGCACCAGGAGGAAGGCGGGGCTCACAAACTTCCAGCACAGTCTCCAGTACAGGCCGGGCTTGAACCCCATCATCTGCTGGATGTCGTTGCTGAACCTGTCCACCCCTGCGCGCACACACACACACACACAGGGCAGCCTGTCACCGCGGGCCCAGAGCTCCGGCCGCCCCTGCTGCCACCCCCAGGGGCCCGGCCCGGGGCAGGGAGCCAACACCTGAACTCATTCCTGCGGACGGGCACCCCGCTGGCCAGAGCAAGGGAGAGGGCCCCTCATGGAGATGTCACCCACGTGCCCGCCCCTCCCCCCGATTCACTTTTCAGAGGGAGACAGGGCCCGGGGAGGGGCGGGCACGTGCCCAGGCCACCCTCCGGGGCAGCCTGACTCCGAAGCCTGGATTTCCCCTCTGTTCACGCTCTTAGCCATGAGACCTGCCCGAGTGCAGTCCGGTGGAGGGCCCAGGCTCACGAAACCTCTCCCCAACTCGTAGGGAAGAGCTCGGCAGGGGGGACCCTGGGATGGGCCACGCGGGGAAGAAACAGCGGGCACGTGGGCACTTGGTAACCGCCCCTCCCCGCCCAGCCGGAGAGCCAGGCGCCCCCTGGAGGGGTCTCAGGCGGTGGGCATGGCCTTGGCTGAAGGATGACCCTTCAACATCTAGCCCCGTGGTCGGCAAACTCATTAGTCCTCCGAGCCAGAGACCAGCAGCACCACGACTGACATTTCTTTTGGGGAGCCACATTTTTTAAGCTTAAACTATATAGGTAGGTATAATACATTGTTATTCACTTAATGAGGGTCCTCCTGAGCTGGCCTTTGCTAAAAATAAAAACTCTCGAGGCCAGAGAGCCGCATGTGACTCGCGAGCCGCAGTTTGCCGACCACGGGTCTAGGCCATACGCTAGTACAGTCAGTCACGCAGTGTTCACCTGACGTTCAGGTTCAACTGCGCCCCTTGCTTCCCGTTGGCTGGGCCTGGCCCGCTGCTCCAGAATGAGCGACCTGGGAGCAGCAGCTTCCTCGGGTTCCCCTCGACTTTTTATTTTTATTTTTTAAATGTTTTTCATTGATGCTGTGTGTGTCCTGTGAGAGTGAAACATGGATCGGCTGCCTCCTGCAGGCGCCGTCCAGAGCTAGAGCCGCCTCCCCGGGCATGTGCCGGGCGGGAACGGAACAGTGGCCTCTCGGAGCACGGATGGGGCTCGGCCAGCGGAGGCAGACCAACGCCCCCCACCCCCTCCGCCGCCCCCACCCGAAGCTCCTCTTTAGGAGTGGACACCGGTGCCTTCGGGCCTTCGCAGCACCCGCTGAAGGGGGTTCATGCAAAGGCGAGCCGCCGGCCAGCGGCTGCCATGGAAACGGAAGGCCCTCGGGTGAGACTCGGGCAGGGGCCGGGGCCCGGCACGCACCGTAAAACCAGGATACACCGATGGCCTCCATGAGCACGGCGAACAGGATGGAGGTGCCCGCCGCGAACGTGTCCAGCAGGGTCAGCACGTAGATTCCGCCCTGGCAGGGAGGGAGGAAGCCTGAGGCCACGGCTGGCCGTGCCACCGACGGGTACGTCCGTCCCCACAGCCCCGCCCCGGCCCCCGCCCCTCTCGCTCGGGGCCCAGTGAGGATGCGGGGGACAGGCTTGGCTGCTACCGTCCTGATGTCAGTGTCTGCGTGCGTCCTGACAAAGGCCCTTGGAGCCACGGGCTGAGGGTGGTATTTCAGCCAGAAAAAGCGAGGTGGGTGTCAGGGGGTCCTCGGGCTCAGAGGAGGGAGAGGACAGCGGGAGAGGAGTGGGGAGTGGTGTAACCCTGGAGTTCCAGGGGTTGGGCCCCAGGGTTGCGGGTGCCTGGCCCCGCCCTGAGCTCACCTCCCCCCTCCATGAGGCTGGCAATGGCTGACCGCGGGGAAAGCGGCCCCCAGGCCCCGGGTGGCTCGGCACAGCCCCCCTCACCTTGGTGATGCAGAACAAGGCCAGGAGGAAGGTCCCCAAGGTGACGCCGAACGTGAAGAGCTTCCTGTGTCGCTTCAGGACCTGGAAGTCGTCGGCCAGGCCCGTGATGACGGCCTCCATGCCTCCCATCTGCAAGGAGCCGGCGGTGGGCGCGGGAAGGAGGCGCCCCGGCCCAAGCTGCAGGCTTGGCGCCCAAGGAGGCCCCCCGGGATCTCCCTCCCACTGCCTTGCCGCTCTGGGGAAATGGGCAGGCACTGCCCTCCCCCAGCCTCTCACCCGCTTCTGCCCCCGCCCCAACCAAACTCAGGACCCAGCACCGACGGGCGGGTGGAGAGTTAGCGCCCTCTTCCCTCATGGACGGGCCCCCGTCCCCTGCCCCTCGCTCAGCCCCGGGGGTTCCGATGAGTCCAAGGAGCATGAATGAAGCAAAATGCCCAACACCCAGGCAAGGTATGTGCACGCCAACGGGGTCTCTTGGAGAGATGCCCGCCAGCACGGAGCCCCCAGAGCTGGGACTCCAGGCAGAGCTTGTGCCAGGGGTTCTGGCTGCCGAGGGGTCCCCTCAGCTCCACCCTCAACGAGGAGGGTCCCAGCCCACACCTCCAGGCACGTGTGTCCTATGCCTCCAATGAGCCACAGTCTTGTGTTTGCCTAAGTGACACCGAGCCCGGGGGGCAGACAGGTGCACACAGGCACCACGCTCAGCCCCTGGCTGCCTTCGCCCTTCAGCAGGCGTTTGCTCGGGGAAATCAGGATTCGTTCCTCAGCGCTGGGAGCAGCCTCAGACCCTTCTTATGTCCCCACGGACAGGCAGAGAGAGGAACCCCTCGGCCAGCCCCGCTCTGAGCAAACGCCCAGGCTTGAGCCTACAGGGGCACACCGGTCTCTAAGGAGGGCAGCGGTCTCATCCGGCAGGTGCGTGACATAAGGGCTCTGAGCCGGAAGGAGGCCCCTGAGCCTGGGCTGGAGGCTGGTGACGGGACAGTCACGGGAGGAGCCTGCTGGGAGGAGGCGCCCTGCCCCGCCTGGTGCAGGGTCCCGTCTGCGTCGGGGAGGAGGCTGGGCTGGCTCATCGGTGGGCACTCTGATTCCCAGGATGCAACGGGTTTCTATTGGTTCTTGGCTTGACCTATGTCTTGCCTTTCTGAGTGAGGGCTCATTTCCTTGTTTGCACTTAAATAGGGGCCCTGGGACGGACTGCTCATTAGGAGTTTGAATGGTGGGGATTTAGGCTGAGTCCTGTGTGCGTGTGTGTGTGTGTGTGTGTGTGTGTGTGTGCGCGTGTTGGGAAGGTCAGGCAATGGCATGTGTGTGTATGTGTGTGTGTGTGTTGGGTCAGACTCAGTGGTGTGTGTTGGGTCAGACTCAGTGGTGTGTGTACGTGTGTGTGTGTGTGTGTGTGTGTGTGTGTACGTGTGTGTGTGTGTGTGTGTGTGCGCGTGTTGGGAAGGTCAGGCAATGGCATGTGTGTGTACGTGTGTGTGTGTGTGTGTGTGTGTGTGTGTGTGTGTGTGTACGTGTGTGTGTGTGTGTGCGTGTTGGGAAGGTCAGGCAATGGCATGTGTGTGTGTGTGTGTGTGTGTGTTGGGTCAGACTCAGTGGTGTGTGTGTGTGTGTGTGTGTGTGTGTGTGTGTGTCGGGGGCGGGTCCAGAGCGGGGTCACTCACTGAGCTGTCAATCCCCAGAGCCAGGAGCATGATGAAGAACACGACGGCCCAGAAGGTGGACCCCGACAGAGTGGAGATGGCTTCCGGGTACAGGATGAAGACCAGGCCAGCTCCTGCAAGAAACACCCAGGCCTCCTCACTGCTGGGACGGGGGTCTGAGCAGCAGGTGGCAGCACAGCATTTGCAGGCCCCGAGGCCTCAGGCCAGCCCGTGGCACCTGGTCCGTCTCGTGAGGGCAGGGAAACCAGGGCCTGGACAGACGAGGCCAGCCCCGGCCTGCAGTTCACCGGCAGCCAGACCAGAGGACAGCGCTCACACCCTCCTGCACGCTCTGAGCAGCCTCTTACTTCACAAGCTCGTGGGGGGCCACCAGAGGCAGCCCCTCCCAGGCCTCAGCTGCTCTGTGGCCACGAGAACATGGGAAACGGGAGGAAAGGACGCAGGCCCCAGAGCGGGCCTGGCCAGCCGGGTGACCTGGGGCAACTTAGCCTGAGTCTCAGCTTCCTCATCTCTAAAGTGGGTCTATTCACACTCTCACTCCTGAGAACTAAGTGGAGGCGTGCCGAGTGCCCAGCCCGGGGGCTGCTGGCCGAGCGGATGCTTCCCAACGCTGTCCGGCTACACGCACACAGAGGGCGGGTCTGCCACTTCTGAGGGGCCCGGGACTGCCTGCCACTCCCACGGACAGACTGCAAGAGGGTCTGTCACGTGGGCAGGATGGAAACCTCCGCGTCGGGCCCTCAGTCCCACCGCCTGCAGAGCGGTGCAGCCGGGAGTCTGCCCACCCACCTTCGGTGGCCACGTCCTCAATGTTGACCTTGTGCTCGTGGGCCATGTACCCGAGGATGGAGAAGATGGCGAAGCCCGAGACGAAGCTGGTGACGCAGTTGATGGTGCTGGTGAGCAGGGCGTCCCTGGGGGAAGAGGCGGGGGGACGGGGGAAAGAATCCCTGTTAGTTCAAGTCGCCTGACTCCCCACGCTGCTCAGGGGCCACCGGACCACCTACGGGATCCTGGCTTCAGACGCCTCCAGTGGCCTTGCCGTCCCGTGGGCCCCAGGCCCTGCCCTAACTGCCCGGGTACCTGCAGGTGCAGGAACAGGGCAACGGCTTCCAGATGAAATACTGGGAGGCCAGAGTCTGGGATTTAATTCCTGTTGGGGCCCTGAGTCACCGTCGCCTTCCACCGACTTGCCATGGCTCCCGGCGTCTCCCCAACGTCTCACCCAGGCCCCCCGAGCTCTGCTAAGGTGAGCCGACCTTGCTCGCAGGCTCATTTCCCATGAGCCCCTGATACACGCTCTTAGACAAGTCAGACCAGCCAACCTGCCCACCAGCTATCCCCTCCCTGGCTTAGCTTCGGCCGTTCCCCAACACGCGTGCCCCCATCCCGTGTCTGCCGGTCACCGCCTAACTGTCCTCCACGCTTTCGCCAATCCCCTGTCCATGTCCTTAGCCTTCCTGCAGCCTGCCCCCCGGCACCCACTCATCCCATCGGTCTGTCCCAGAGGGGTGTGGGTCTGCCCTCAGCCTCTGACAGAGCGACAGAGGCCCCATGTGTGCCCAGGTGCAGGCTCTGATGCCCTGCTGGCACTGACAGCTCATGCCATCAGCCTAGACATCCCACCCTTGCCTGCCTGCCTGGGCAACGGACGGACAAACAGACACTGCTGCCTGCTCTGAAAGCCACACAGTGTCCCTCTGTCCCAGCTGCCGAGCTCTTGGATCTCCTGGCACCAGAGGCTTCCGCTTTCTCACCCTCTCCCCCAGCATCTGGTTCAGAGGTGCCCCGAATGGAAACAAGCCCGTCAGGACCCCACTGGCCACGTCAGCGCTCCGAGAACACCCGGGTGGCCATTTCCCAGAGGAAGGAATCCCGGAGGAAAAGCGGGCTTGTCCCAGACCAGAGCCCCGCCCCCCTTCCTTGCCACCGTCCGTCCCCAGATGCAGAGCCTTCCAGAGCCGCCAGGAGGGCCTCACCTGTAGCAGTTGTTGTCGAATTTGTTGTAACTGGCAAAGGCAATCAAGACTCCGAATCCAGCCCCCAGGGAGAAGAAGATCTGCGTGGCAGCGTCAATCCAGACCTGAGAGGAGCAGACAAGAGCCGTCACCCACTGCTTCCGGGAGGAGGGGCCTCTCTCCCCGCCCGGGGGGTGGGGGGGGCAGGGGCACCCCGGGGTGCTCCGAGACCCAGGGAAATGAGGTGTGAACTGGCACCGGCTCAGATCTCCAGGTTTCCAGCCAGGCGCTGGCATCGCTCAGAAGATGGAAGGAGTTAACCCCCCTGGCCCCAGGAGTCGCCCCGTGTGGGCTCGTAGGAGCTGCCAGGTCACAGACCCCCTTTCTGGAGAAGCCGTCTCCGTAACTCCCGAGACGGTCATGGCCCTTTGCCCTCCCTCCGTCTGCACAGCCCGGGACGGCTAGTTTATGAAGGTTCTTCACAATCAGGACATCAAGTTAAGTTCCTCCAGACTCAGCTTCCTCCTGACACCCAAGACCCGGAGGTGCTAGAGCAGGGGAGGGGAACCTTCGGCCCGCAGGTCATGTGAGGCCCTCGAAATCATTTGGTCTGGCCCTGCCCGGCACTGGCATGAGTTAATCAAGTGTTTGACCGAGTGCAGCAGGCTACATTTTAAGCTGATAATTCTGTACGGTCTGGGAGTGATTCGATAGGTACCCAAATGGCCGTGTGCTAGTGAGATCCCGGCCTCTATGCCCCGTTATCTTGTCCAGCTTCTGTGAGGGGGAGGGGGAGGGTCTAGGCCTCCCTGTGGCTAACGCTGCCCCGGACCCTGTCATCACGGGATGGGGGCCAAGGCCAGCGCTGGGGGACTAGAGAGTGGAAATAGGACTGGGGTGTCTAGGTGGGTTGGGGGGCCATGGCCCAGGCTAGAGGTAAAACCCCAGGACACAGCATCATTCCCTTGAAAAGAGGGGTCTACTAAGGCCCAATAGAACCACAGAACCCCAGACCACCAGAGCTGGGCGGGCTGGTGGACACCTACGGGTACAAATCCACCGGCACCATCAGGTGGAGAAGCCACAGCCCAGCCAGGAAGGGGCCTCTCAGGCCCCCCAGCAAGGCAGGGGCAGAGCTGGGGCCGGAGTTCCCTGAGGACCCGCCCCAGTGCCGGCCTCGGGGTGGGAGGTGGGGGTCCCGGGCGCTCACCGTGGCCTCCTTGAGGCGGTAGAAGTCGATGTGCAGGTAGGCGCTGATGCCGTTGGAGGCGCCGGGCAGCGTGATGCCGTGGACCAGGAGCACGAACAGCACCAGGTAAGGCAGCGTGGCTGTGATCCACACGACCTGCCGTGGACAAGCTGGCCGTGAGCCTGGTCCCACCCCCGGGCACAGGCCTCTCCACCGGAGCCACGCACGCCTCCCCCACCCCGCACCCTCCTTCACACAGTGCACACGCCCCGAGCTCCAGCTCCAGGCCTGGTCCCGGGCTGGACCCCAGCACAGAGTGGACAGAACCGAGTGGGCGTGGCGGCCACACTGGGCACAGCGCTGCCAGCAGAGCTAAGGGCGTGAGGACACAGACCAGGTTCTCGGGGCACCTGACACCTCCTCCTCCACAAGCCGCTCTCCTGACCCGTTCAAGTTGCCCCGGAAGAGCTAAGCACCCCCATCTTCTTACCCTCTTCCTTCCCTTCCTGCTGTCTCCCTCCCTCCCCTCTCCTTCTCCTTCTCCCTCTTTCAAACACATCCTCCCAAGCTCACTGCCCTGGGAGGGGAGTGGCCGGGCAGAGAGCAGAACGCTGGCCTTCCTTCCTCTCCGTGGGGCCGTCTTTGGAGCACAGAGAAAGTGCCTTGTCCAAGGGAGCCATAAAGCGTGAGATGCTCCCGGGACTAAAAGGGGCCCCGCCCCCTCCTGCCCCAGGTGGAGGAGCAGAGAGGAAAGGTGGAGGGAGGGGAGGGAGGTTGTGGAGGCTTCCTCTCCCGTCCTTCTCGCCCTTGACTACACCCTGAAACACTCGGGGGGTGGAGAGGGGGGTGTTATAGGTAAAAAGGCCCACGTTCAGCCCTATTCTCGGAGTTTCTGACTCCACTGATCCTCGGTCTGTTCCAAAAGCGCCCCCTGATGACGTAAATATGCAGTCAAGGCCGCAAGTCACTGCTGCAGGCACATGGAGCCATAGGCAGGTGCAGGGAGCAGACTGTGACCCAGCCGAAATGTGCTCGGGGTGGGGATCCCCTAAGCCATGGAAGAGTCAGCAGAAACACCAGAGGACACGGGACTTAAGGACCAGACAGCCCCTCTGCTCAAAGCCCCGGGGGCCTGTAGACACCTGTCGGGAGACAACGGGAGCCCGGAGGCATGCCTGAGGGTAAGGCGCTTTGCACAAAAGTGGAGACGCAGAAAGCGAAGTCACCTATCTCCCATAACCCTATTCAGGGTTGGGATCTGTTCTCCTCTGTCTTTCCCACCAGATCCTGAGCTCCTGAGAAGCAACCTAGCCACAGTTTTCAAGCTTGCATCCCCAGCACATGCCACATATTTAAAGCAAAGGTTTGTTGGGTGAAGGAGTGGACAGTTGTATAATGGGTGAATAAATGGATTGATGGATGGATAGACGGTTGGATGGGCGGATGACAGAATTGTTGGGCGGGTGGATGGAGGGGTGGATGGATGGAGGACTGGATGGTTGAATTGACAATTGCATAGATAAGTGTCTAGATGGATGGGTAAGTGAGTACATGGTTGAGTGGGTAGATAGACGAGTGAGGGGGTCAGTAATAAATCAGAGGGCTAGTGAATGACTAAGTTAGTCAACAAATGCATAAAGGAATAAACAAACAAATGACTCAGGGAGTAATTAATTGAATCGGCAGTTGTTTATACCTCCTGAGGGAAGCAATAGAGGAATTAGGCTCCTCTGTTTCAAGTTATCCAACTGTTCCCCCATCCCTCCCTTGGGACATGGTGGGGGGAGGAGGGGTTTCTGCAGATACAGGCTTTAGATGTCTGTGTCCCCCAGGGGCATGGGAACAAGGAGGACAAATTGCCAAAAACAAACGCAGAGGAGCGCGTGCCTTAGAAAGTGAAGTCATTGCATCTGGACGGCCTCCCATCGATCCTGGATTTACTGTCCCAAATTGGCCTGACTCCCCGGCGACAGGCACGGGATCTTAGCTGGGTCCTAACCACCCTGCTTCCCTGCAACTCATGTCAACAGCGGCAGGTCCACTGCCCAGCCCGGCCCAACACCCCCCCACTCAGCAGAGCCCCACAGCCCGGGGCTGACTCTAAGGGGTCTTCCCTGGGGTCTGGAGGCAGCCCTGTGCTGGCCAGGCCTGAGGCCCCAACATGGATTCGGTTTCCCCAGGAACACGCCAGGGCATGACTAAGCCGATCCTGACTGCAGTCAAGCACCGAGAAAGGGGAGTTCGCTTTCCCCGCACACTCATGTCCAGAGTAAACGACCGGCGTCTTGTGGTAAGTTCTCAGAATCCATGGCAGGGGCGTCCTGCCACCCAAGAGGGGGTGTGGAGGGGGTGGCTCTTGGATCCATGGCCAACAGCTCGCTCATGCTCACTGTGCCCTGTCTGCACACGGGGTGAAGGGAAGGGACCCTGGCGCCGTGTCAGCCCCACCGCAGGCCCCTCTGCTCTCAAATTCGCAACTTGCAGTGGCTCTCTGGCCAGGAGAAGCCAGACATGGTTTATCCCCGAGCATGAGATGAAAAGAACAATGAGGGCCCAGTGGTTTGGGCAGGAGTCATCAGGCCCCAGGGGAAGCCTCTGCTTTCTATCACCCCAAATCCTATTTCTTCTCCACTGTGGTGTCTCTGTGGGTACAGGTTAGAATTTGCATGGTTCCAGGGAGCCAAACTCAATGGCTCATAATCCCAAGGAGGAAGATCTTGGCTCATTAAAAAGAAGTTTTCTAATGGACAGAGCTCTCTAAAGAGGAAATGAGCTGCCCGGGAAGGGGGGAGGTCCCTGTCACTGCAGGTGTGTAAGCCTTGTTAGGTACCAGGCATGAGGCAAAGGATCACGTAGGCAGTGGTCGGCAAACTCATTAGTCCCCAGAGCCAAATATCAACAGCATAACGATTGACATTCCTTTTGAGAGCCAATTGTTATTAACTTAGTTAGGGTCCTCCTAAGTTGGCCTTTGCTGAAAACTCAAGGGGCCATAGAACTGCATGTGGCTCGAGAGCTGAAGTTTGCCCGCCACTGGCCTAGGTCAGTGGTTGACAAACACACTAGTCAACAGAGCCAAATGTCAACAGTACAATGATTGAAATTTCTTTGGAGAGCCAATTTTTTTAAACCTAAACTTCTTCTAATGTCACTTCTTCAAAATAGACTCGCCCAGGCCATGGCATTTAGTGGAAGAGCCACACTCCAGGGACCAAAGAGCCGCATGTGGCACTCAAGCCTCAGTTTGCCGACCCCGGACAAGGTGAGGCCCCTACACCAGCAGCAGCAGCAACAGCACCTGGAAGCATGTCAGAAATGCAATTCCCGCCTCGTCCCCACAGAACCCCACTCTCAGGAAGGGCCCTGGGCACCTGAGTTTTAACAAGTTCTCCCGGTGATTCTCATGAGCGTTAAAGGATGAGGAGCACTGCTCAAGGTCACCTCTGAACACAGAGATGATACAAGCTGCCCGAATTTAACCTCCCGTGATTTCTCATGGGGGATCCCCTGAGCTGGAGTTCAGGGACATTGGCACTGACAATGAAGACACCCTAAGATGCATGGGGCGAGGGGGTACCCACTGATGTTACTTAAGAAAATGCTGAGCTGTAAATATTTTAGCCCATTCATTGTTCATGCGCAAACGATGCTATTCCCCGTAACGGACCCGAGGCTCACTGAAGCCAGCCAGGGCCGGCCTGTGCTGACAAATGAGTGAGGAGACTTGGCTAGGATTACGCCTTGAACTCAAATGTTAACAAAAAGGATCTTTCTTTGAAAGATACTAGAAGTCAGGTTTGTTTTGGATTGGTCCAGCTTTCTCTCTCCCTGACCCCATAACTTTGCCAGAAGTGGAGAGAGTGTTCTGTCTTTTCCCATCCCCCAAAAGTGCCCTGACCAGCGGGCTCAGTGAGCATGGACCTATGAACCAGGAGGTCATGGCTCAGTTCCCAGCCAGGGCACAGGCCTGGGTTGTGGGCTCAATCCCCAGTATGGGGCGTGCAGGAGGCAGCCCATCAATGATTCTCTCTCATCACTGATGTTTCCTCTCTCCCTCTCCCTTCCTCTCTGAAGACAATAAAAAAATCTATGTATAGTATTTTTAAAATAAATATATATAAAAACAAGCACACTGAGCACCGGCCAGGGGACCGATGACAGGGACACAGAGAGAGGAGGATCATTTATTGAGCAATTTCCATCTGCCAGCCCTGCCCATCGCTCCCTCTATCTTCCCAACAGCCCTGGAGGCCAGCGCATCAATACTTCGCAGGTGGGCACTAAAGCCGAGGCAGCACCATCATCCTGAGGTCACCCAGGAGAAATGGCAGCACCTGGTCTCCAACCCAGGTGTCTGACCACCAGGCCACGTGCTCCATCACTCCCTCCACTGTATACGTGAGACCCAGGTTTACCCCTGGCCCTGCTAATGATCGCTGTGAAACCCCGGACACTCTCTCAGCCCCCGTTCCCCCATTTCTACAAACAGAGGGCATGGATGGCCCCTAAGTATCTTCCGGGTCCACAGGTAGGTGCCGGCTGTGAGATGGGGAGGCAGGCAGGACCCCTGGTTGGTGAGCTCGGCTCCCGGGGCCACCTCCTGACTCAGACCTCCACCCTTGGGGCAGAGTCAAGGGTCAAGATGATTGAGTGTGTGGTTTGGGGGAACCCCTTTCCCTGGTTCAGAGCGCACCCTCCCCCCACCGTCCCACACACAGGCAATGGAGCCACACATGATCCCGGGCCCGGAGCGTGCACGTGCCAAGGCAGGAAGCGTGAACATGTGCAACTCATTCCAGGCTGCTCTGCGGCCGGGGGGCGGCCACGAACGCTCCGAGCCCCGGCCCAGAAGCAATCTGGAAGGAATAAGCGATGCTCGCTCTTGCCTGTCTCCCGAGCCAGAGTCAGTACATGCCAACAATGGAGACAGGACGCAGGAATGTCCCACATGACATCCCTGCCCCTGGGCTGGGGCCCTGACGCACATGGGAACTGTGGCTTCTGCTGACGTGTTTCCACGTGGGGGGCTTCTCCGGTGCCCCAGCCCTCGTGACTCCCCCCCACCTCCCTGGGGTGATGACTCCTCCGAAGGTCCCTTTGCACAGAGGGACCCAGCATGCCCAGCTCCTTCTCCCTGCAGACCACTCGCGCTCCAAATGCTAAACGGGGCGGTGCAGGCTCTAGCCCTCCGCGTGGCTGCAGAGAACTTAATCTAGGGGTGCAGCGTGGGAAGCCTGGGGTGGCCCGCCCCCAGGCCAGCGGCAACAGTGAGGCTCCGACACCTTCAGCTCTTACACCTGCAGAGGCCAGGACAGCCCTTCCCCCGGGAGAGGCTCCGAGAGGCCGGGCCTTCCTGGGTCACCCAACCCTCACGCCGCTCCCCAGAATGTCTGGGCCCTCGGGGGCATGTAGCGCTGTGCCAGAGGAAGTGCACGGCCCCAGGCCACATGGATATCTCCTAGGGCATTCTCTTTTGCTAAAAACTCAGCAGGGGGCGTGACTGGCTTCATAGCAAAGTTGGTGGCTAGGTGCCCAAGCAGGAGAGAGCATTGGCATGAAGTGTCAAGGCCAGGATTCAAGATCCACCAAATACAGGTCAGTGGGTTGCTTTTTTGCGGGGGGGGGGGGGGGGGGGGGGGGGGACTGCCAACAGGCTTTTCCCCCAGGCCCTTGGGTAAGGTGACCAGACGTCCTGCTTTTGGCGGGACAGTCCCGGTTTAAAAAATCGGGACTTTTTTAAAACGCCGCGGGACGCGGGACAAATGGTTAAACACCGGGACTGTCCCTCGGGGTGTCCTTAAAGGAGCTTTAGTGGAAAAGTGTGGGGGCCCTGGTCTACCTGCAGGCCCGGCCCTATTGCTGGGGAGCCTGGGCATGGGGAGGGGAAGGCATGTGTCCGAGGCCTCCCAGGAAGTCAGGGAGCAAACCCAGGCTTCGTGCGTTCCGTTCCGCCTTTTCTTCCCACCTACAAACCGCGGCAGCGAGGGAAACAAACGGGTTGTTTGAGGCCGGAAGTGTTACCTTCCCCGAGGTCTTCACGCCTTTCCAGAGGCTGAAGAACAGGACGACGACCACCACCATCAGGCAGAGCAGGAGCTGCCACTGCGGCAGGCCGATGTCGTGGATGCCGCCGCTCTCGTGAAGGTGCAGGACGCCGCGCCTGCGGGGGGCGGGGCCGGGGGAGGCGCCGTCGGTCAGGGAGGACGCCCCCCAGGCCTGGGCCACAGGCCAGCCCCGAAGGTGCCCTGTGGGGGAGACGGGCCCCGGGCTGCCTGGCCACGGCCTGCACCTTTAGGGACTGCTCTGGGCATCACAGCCCGGGCCCAGGACTGCCCTCGGGGCCAGCACGTCACGTGGGAGACGTCCCTTTGGGATCCGTTGGGCAGAGGCCAGAGATGCTGCTACATATCCGAGGTGCACAGCACGATCCGTCCCCTCCCCCTTCCCCGGCCCCCCGCTGCCCCCCAACAATACAATGACGCAGCCCCAAAAGTCCAAAGTCTCGAGGTTGCGAAATGCTCGTCTGCGGCATAAAAAACGCCAGCCTGTCAGAATCTGAGGCCTTCCACCGTGGGCCAGGGGCCAGGGCGTCCCCTCCCTCACCACGCCCCGCCTGCGGCTCCTGGCACTGGCCGGCCAGCCCCCTGTCATCCCCTGATCACACCAGGCTCCTCGCCGCGGGCCGGAGTGCGCCTCCCAGCCCAATGTGTCTGCTTGGCACACTTCTCATCCCGCTGGTCCCAACTCGGAAAGGATGCCCTGACTTAGGCCCCTTTCCTATGGAGAGAGAGAGAGAGAGAGAGAGAGAGAGAGAGAGAGAGAGAGGAGGGGCGGGGAGGAGAGGGGAGGGAACCCATCTAAAATGACAGAACCAGAGCCAGCTGCTGGACCCCTCTGACCGCATCCTGCTAACTGTTAGCTCACAGCATCCAATCAGATGGCAGGAATGCCCCCTACCAGGCCCCAGGGGCACAAGGCCGGACTCGGAGCTGCCTCCCCAGCAAAGGAACGCCAGCCCAGCCCCCGCTGCCCGCAGGCCCGGCCTGGGGGGCGTTAGCTGTGAGCACAGGCTGCTGGCGTTCGTAGCCGTTTTCCAGCGGGTTAACGAGAACGACGCGGGAGGTGCCCGGTCCAGGCTTTCCGAGGTCTGCAGGCCAAACAGGCTGAGTCTCACTTGACATTTAAGCGCGGAGAGGGCGTCCCCCCACCACACCCCGGGATCAGGCAGGGGGAGAGGCTCTCTGTGGCCAGGGCGTGCTCCCCAGGGGCGCCCTCTGACAGCGAAGGGATGAGCGTCAGGGCTGCTGTGAGCTAACAGTTAGCTGCGAGCTGTCTGGCCGAGGGCGGGCACGGCGCCCGCAGAGAACAGTGGTTTTGTCTCCTTGGGCGATGGGTGCCGTCCCTCAGCCTAAATGCACACGAGATGGCCAGGGCGCCGGCCAGCAGGCACTGGGGAAAGAGCTGACCTCCCCGGGGCTGGCATTCCGAGTCCTGCCTGCTGGCCCCCAGGCTGAGCGGGGATGGCTTTTAAAGCAGAAACATCTGGCTCCCAGGGCCACGTGCCATTACAAAATAAATAAAAATTCAGAGGCAGCCCTGGCGTGGTGACTTGGGAGCTTGCGAAAGCAGGCTCCAGGGGAGAAAGAGAGGCGCAGGGTGGACCCTGTCACCCCAGAGGGTCCTGCACGCCTGCCCCCAGGGCCCCCCCAAGGCAGATAGGCAGGATGAGGAGGGCGGGAGGGAGGCCTCTGTATGGGACTCTGATCCCGGCTCGGTCTCTCACCTAAAAACTGGGCCTCGACATGCTCACCTGTGAAATGGGAATAACTATCGCCAACATGAACTGTGGAGACTCATGGGCCTTGGATGGGAAGGGATGCCAGGTGCCCGGCTCATGTTAGTTATGAAGCTTGGGTGGGGAGGGGGGGGGTTGACAAGAGAGGGGAGCGAAGGGGAGGGGAGGGAAGGGGAACTCGGCAGAGCAGACAGCTGCTAAAATAGCCTTAGGTTCTGCTTCCACTCCATCCCCCAGTCCCTTCAGCCCCGGGCTAAACTGTGTCATCTTTTCTAAGGTGACCAGACCTCCCGCTTTTGGCGGGACAGTCCTGATTTTTAACAATTTGTTCGGCGTTTTAAAAAAGCCCCGATTTTTGGAAAGACTCTTTTTTAAAACATCGCGGGATGCAGGACAAATTATTAAAACTCACCAAAAGCGGGATGTCTGGTCACCTTCATCTTTTCCCAAGCTGGGCGCAGGGGGCGTGTATGGGTGCTATCTCCCCACCCCCCTCCCGCACCAGAACCCAAGCTCCCCCCACCGCCTCGCCCAGGGCTGTGCCAGTCCCCAAGGACGGCAGGCGTGCCCCCTCCTCCGTGGTTTCCCTCAGTGTGTGGCTCCGGTCCTGCCGGCACGGGGACACAGGGGCACGGGGGCACGGGGGCACAGGGGCATGGGGCACAGGGGGCAGGGGGCAGGGGGCGCGGGCGGGGGACTCACTCGTAGAACTCGGCAGCCGGCGTGAACTTGTACTTGGAGTACTTGGTGTGGTTGCCCAGCGTGGAGGCGTTGAGGAGCTTGGGGTCGGTGCAGTTGGGGCTGTTCCAGGGGTGGCCGCAGTCGGTCCAGGGCAGGCGGAAGGTGAAGGAGGAGAAGAGGTAGTAGAGGGACCAGGCGATGATGACGTTGTAGTAAAAGCCGACGTACAGGGCGATGAGGATCACGGCGTAGCCGACTCCTGGGGGGGGAGGAAGGGGAGGAGAGTGGGAAGAGGGGCTCAGCAGGGTTTCCCCAGGCCCAGCCCAGTGCCAGCTCTCCTTGGGGAGACGGGGGGGGGGGGGGGGGGCGCTCTAACCACTACCCAGCCCACACCTTTTTTTTCCTGTCGCAAATTGTCACAGCCCCCATCTGTCTCTCTGAGACACCCACCACCCCTTTGCCCGAGGGCTCTCTCTGGCCCGTGGAGCCCCCTAGGCCTGCACATGGGGCAGGCCAGGCGTGCCCGGACCTTACTGTCCCCAGGGGGCAGCAGGGTCGCTCCCTGGCCTTGGGCAGGAGAACGCTGAGGCGTGTTGGGGGGACCCCCTGGCCCCCCATGGGCTGGCTTGCTGCCTGCTTCCCCTTCCCTCTCCCCTCCTGGGGTTTCAGGGGGGGGGGGGCGCCTCCCCAAGTCACTCCTTACACGGAACCCCGGTCTCAGGGCCTGCTTCTGGGGACCCACAGCCGAGCCCCCCCGCCCCCCCTGATCGGAGCTGCAGCCCCTGTGGCCTCGGGGTCCTCTTTCCAAGCAGCTCCTGCGGGGCACCACCCGGACGCTCGGGCACCCCGGGGCGCCCCGGCGCCGGCCTCACCTTTGAAGAACGGGCAGATCTTCCACACGGTGGCCGCGCCCTCCCGGTTGAACTGGCCCAGCGCCAGCTCCATGTAGAAAAGCGGCATCCCGGCGATGATGAGGAACAGCGTGTACGGGATCAGGAAGGCGCCTGCCGGGCACGGAGGCGGAGCGTGACCCTCGGGCCCCTGCCCAGCCCGGCCTGCCCGCCGCTAGGACGAGGGTTAGGGTTAGGGTTAGCGCCCGCCGTCGGTTCTGGTGAAACGGCTCAGTGGGGGGCTGCTGCCTGGTGAAGGCTCACCAGGCAGACCCCGCCCGATGAGATGACCATGGCCTTCGGCCTTCCCCACCCCCCTGCCCCAGGGCGGAGGCGGGCTGGCGATGGCTGGAATCGGGATCGCGTCTGAGTGATGAAGCCGCCATGAAAACCTCCAGATGAACCGCAGAGCTGGGGGGGACTCCATGTGCCAGAGGCTGGCGCACCCCAACTTCCTGGGGACAGAAGCTCCGGGACGTTGGGTCCTGCCAGACCTCCCTGCATGCGCCTCTCTACCTGGCAGCTCCTCCGAGTCCTTTCCAATAAACTGGGGAATGTAAATACGGGGGTTTTACTGGGCTCTGCCAGCTGCGCAAGCAAAGGCTCACGCCGGAAGGTGGGGTGGTGGGAGGCCCCGATCCGCAGCCGGAGAGCAACAGGAACCTCGAGGGGGGGACGGTCGTACGGGGTCCCCGCGGACAGCGGGCAGACAGTGTCAGGACTGGACTGGGCCCAACCGGCCGGTGTCCAGAGCTGGGGAGCGGCCGGTCTGAGGGAAGCCCCACACAGGTGGGGTCAGAAGAGTCTAACCCAAAACCATTTCCCTCTTTCCCCCTTGCCCGGATCCGGAGACAGTGCCGGCCCCCTCGTGTCCTGTGTTGATGGCTCTGGGACCTTGAGCGAGTAAGGGAACGTCTCTGAGCCCGAGTGCCTGCCCTTAGGAGGTGCCCTTCGTAGGATGGGGATACTATTGTGCCATCACCCAGGAGAGCAGATGGGGCTCGGCTCTGGAAACTGGGAGCCGCCGCTGAGCAGCGTCTGCTGGGCGAGGGTACCAACCCTCCCCAAGGAGAGCCTGTCCCCTCAGCGGGGACCGCTCAGGCCCCAGCTGAGCAGAGCCGCCTCGGTCAAGGCCCCTCCGCCCCCGCCCCCAGCAGGTGCCTCACGTGGGGTGCCCCCAGGGCTTCTGCTCTCCCCGGAGCGGCGGGAGGTCCTCGTGGGCATGCACCCATCCCATAGACGTCGGCTGGGCACCTCCTACCACTTTCGGGCCGTCCAGGCCTGCTCTCGGGCATTGGAAACACAGGGATGCTGAGCCACGGCCTCTGCCCTCAGGGTGTCCGGAGTCAAGGGACCGAACACCAGCCTAGGCGAGGGGGCTTCCAGGTCCCTTCCCTTAAACATGGGAACCTGGCCGGGACCGGTTTGGCTCAGTGGATAGAGCGTCGGCTTGGGGACTGAAGGGTCCCGGGTTCGATTCCCGTCAAGGGCATGTACCTTGGTTGCAGGCATATCCCCAGTGGGGGGTGTGCAAGAGGCAGCTGATTGATGACTCTCTCTCATCGATGTTTCTAACTCTCTATCTCTCTCCCTTCCTCTCTGTACAAAATCAATAAAATATATATATATTTTTAAAAACAAAACAAAACATGGGAACTGCCGGGCCAGTGTGGCTCAGTGGTGGAGTGTTGGCCTATGAGCCAGGAGGTCACGGTTGGATTCCCAGTCAGGGCACATGCCTGTGTTGTGGGCTCGATCCCCAGTGTGGGGGCGTGCAGGAGACAGCCGATCAAGGATTCTCTCTCATCATGGATGTTTCTGTCTCTCTTTCTCTCTCCCTCTCCCTTCCTCTCTGAAATCAATAAAATATATATATATATATATTTTTTTTTTAAAGGAAATCTGTGACCAACGTGCTCTGTCTTGTGCCCAGTCGGGGGCATGTCACCTGGCACGCAGCAGGCATGCTCTCATTGCTGTGGCCATGGCCAAGTGCACACACAGTGCCAGGCAAAGTTTGAGGTGCCCATCTGGCCGATGTGTCTGTCCGCTGGGCCACCGCCTGCTTCCGGGTTCCACGCCTAGAGCAATGGAAACGACATTGGCAGCAAAGCCCGTAGGCGGCTGAAGCTCCCAGCAGGCAGGCAGGCGGGGAGGGGGACGGTCGGGAGGACCCCACGGAGCCTGGCTGCGGGGCTCCCTGGGAAGAACCCGGTGGAGATGCTGAATCACGATGGAGCCTCCCGCTGCCTGGGGACAAGCATGAGATGACGTCATGCTGGGTGGCGCCGTCTAGGGTCTCTCTGTCTATCCTTCCTCCATGAACTAACTCCCTGCTGAGGCAGCACGGGGCCTGCGGGGCCTCCCTCCGTGGGTCTGAAGGGCCCTGGGCTTAAACCTGCCGCAGCTGGACGAGGAGACATGTCCGCCTCCTTCTGGTTCCTGCTTCCCGTTTCCCACCCAGAGCGGCCAGCGAGTGGCTAGCGCCTACTCTGAAAACAGCAGCGGGGTCCCAGGCCCAAACGCCCAGTCCCCAACCCTCTCCCTGCCCCTCCTCTGACCCTCTGGAGTCCTGAGGCAGCGCCCATGCCAGGCAGGACGGTGCAGTGGGTAGAGAGGTTTCCAGAACTGGGCCCTCCTGCACCAACTTCTGCCGCTAGGTCCTTTCCCTGGGGTTCTCTGCAGGGCACCCCTTACTTGTCCCAGCAAAGGGGGCAGGATGCGTGGTTTGGGCCCCCGAGGGGCAAAGGCCGGGAAGGAGCGAGGCCCTTAGGCCCCAGCGTCCTGTGTGGGGCTCAGCTGGTCTTCAGGCTCTCATCCCTGGCAGGTGGGTGTGTGTCCCCGGCCAGAGCGGGAGGAGAGAGCCTGGCTGTCTTTCCAGCCCCCCAGGGAACCCCTCCTCGCTGCCATGGGGCCAGGACCCCATCCTGGTCCCCAGGCTCTCCTAACCTGTGCCCCTGGCCCCTCCAGCCACACACCACCACCTGTGAGTGGGGTTGTGGGGTTCTCTCTGACATGGTCCCTCTTTGTGTGTCTCTGTCTGAGTGCAGGAAGCCAGTCCTTCCTCTCTCCAGCGGGGAGCGCCGGGTGTAGGGACCCCGGGTGCCTGGCTGTCCCCTGCTGTGCACCTCACGCCCCTTCCAGAGCTTTCCAAATCTCCACTCCCTTCCGGTGGCCCATCCAAGGTCAGGGGGCCCTCACGGGACCGGTGCCCGATTCCCCCCCTCCTTCCACCCAAGCACCGATCACTGTCCAAGGGCATGCCTCCACTCCCCTCTTCCACCGGGGACGCCAATGCTTTTTCGGGGAGCCCTGCCGGGTCCCTTCCTGCGCCCCTGCCAGGCAGGACGGCCCAGTGGGTAGAGAGGTTTCCAGAACTGGACCTCCTGCACCAACTTCTGCCGCTAGGTCCTTCCACCCCCTCCCCCCCTCCCATCTCTGCAGGGCACCCCTTAGCTCATCCCAGCAAAAGGGGGCAGGACGCGTGTGCTCCCTCTTCACCTGGGTGTGTGTCGCAGCCCCTCTCCCAGCCTCTGCAGCCAAAGGTGGCCTCCCCAGTCCACCCACCTCCCCCCCTGCCCGCAGCCCGGGTGCGGGCGCTCACCGCCGCCGTTCTTGTAGCAGAGGTAGGGGAAGCGCCACACGTTGGCCAGGTCCACGGCGAAGCCCACCACGGACAGCAGGAAGTCGATCTTCTTGCCCCAGGTCTCGCGGGGCGGCTCCTCGCTGGCGGCCCGGGACGCCAGGAGGCACTGGACCCCGTTGCGCTCCTTCACCACCAGCAGCTCGGCCGCCTTGCGCGCCCGCAGGGGCTGCGCCGCCTCGGCGTCCGCCCCGCCGCCCTCCGGCTGCACCTGCGGGCTCACCCGCGCCAGGAGCATGGCTGCTGCGGGCGGGCCGGGGAGGGGGCCGTCGGCGGGCCTGGGAGGCGCTGCTTGGGAGGAAAGGAGAGAAGAGGGTGTCACCGGGCCATGCGCCTCCCGATGATCCTTCCCCCGAGATCGCCGGGGACGCCTCGCTCCGCGCGCTGAGAAGGGCGCGCGTCTGTTGGAACAACTTGGAGACGGAGGTAGGTAGCGGCGGGGGGTGGGGTCGGGGGACCGCGACGGAACTGAGGGGCGGGGACCGCGCCTGCCCGCCCCGTAGATCCGGCTGGGGACCTGGCAGCCCTTCCCTCGAGTGGCCGCCCCCTCTCCGTCCCCAAGGACGGGGTTTGGACGCGCCAAACGCAGAGGTTTCCGTGGGCGGAGACCAGTCCGCCCCCGTGCTGTTGGCAGCTACCCTCTTCTCCCCCTCCTCCGCTCCCCAGCTCGGGCCCGCGCCCCCTCCAAGGGCCCCAGGAGCCTCCCCGGACGCGCACTCCGCCGCACGTCCAACTCGCGGGCACTCTGGCCCCGCGCGCCCCGGCCTGGGTCCCCCGGCCCCGCGCGCCCCGGCCTGGCTCTCCCCTGCCCATTCAGCGGGCCCCGGCCTGGCTCTCCCCTGCCCATTCATTGGGTCCCGGGGGCGCACTCACGTGTCCTGCAGCCACGGGATCCAGATGCTGTGCGCCCTGCCCTCCCTGGACTCGCCTGGCCGCCTGGGCCTTAGGGCGCCGCCGGGGCCAAGCTCCGCCGCGTGGCGCTCGCTCCGGGCGCTCAGGGCACGGGAGGCGCGGCGGGGCGCGGGCTGGCGGGCGGGCTGGCTCTGGCCGCGCCGGGCGGGCACCGGGTGGTAATGTAGCTGCGCCCCAGGTACCGCGCCGATTGCATTAGCCCCGAGCCGGGCCGCTCCGTCTGGAGCCTGTTAGCGCTAATGCAGAGTGACAGCGCGGCCGGCCGGGGTGGGGAGGGGCGGGGGCGCGGCGCGGGCCCCGAAGGAGGTGGCGTGATCCCGGACACCCGCGACGTGCGGGCCCGGGGGCGCATCCCCTTTCCTGCACGCGCCACGGAGGTCCCACACGCGGCTCTTGGGCGGCCCCGGCCTGTGAATTCCCACCACCGCAAGAGAACGCGACCCCCGGAACTGGGGTGTCTGGCTGAGTGGCTTCTGAGAGGGGTTGGGGGTCTCCAAGAAAAGCAAACCCCGGTTCCATACCAGCTCCCCATCCGTGGCAGGCCTCTGAGGCTACCTTGTTAGAATTTCTCCAGCAACCCTCTGCTCAGGGGCTAGGATGGCCCAGGGGTGCGGGCAGCCTGGGGTGGGTTTGGTTTGGCTGGCCTGGGTGGACAGGGCACTGCCCAGTCTGTTTGTTAGGGGCTGGCTGGCCAGGCCTTGGGGGTGGTGAGTCCTGTGGCAGGAGGCTGGGAACTGTTAGTCACTCATCTATCTATTCACTCGCTCCTTCACCACTTCGCTCATGTGTTCCTACACACACACACACACACACACACACACACGCCTGCTGTGTCCTAGGCAGCGGGGACACATGTGTGAGCAAAGATCCCTCACAGGGCAGAGTTCACTTCCCGGTCAGGGGGAGACTGGAAAACAGGAGGCGTCATCCATCCATACATGCGCGATCTGGGCGGTGAGAAGGGGATCTGGGCTGTGGGGGAAAGCAGCGCCTGGGCCTAGGACTGGGGACGGGCCTGGGTGGGGTCGCTGTGAGGTCAGAGGATTTGAGAAAGCGAAGGCGGCATGTAAGCAAGTAAAGGAGTGAGTCATGTAGCCCTGGCATTCCCTCACTCATTTACCCATTCATTCATTCACTCATTCGTTCGTTCATTCATCCGACAGGTGTAGATTGCCTACTAAACCCCCGAGCCGCCCTGGCGAGCGGGAATGTAGGAAGATTTCATTGTATCTGGAGGCCGGAGGGGCGGGCAGTCGGCAGGCTTGGGCTGCCTGGTTCTGGCCGCACCAGGCGGGCGGGGACCGGCCTGTGATGTAGCCTGAGCCCAGGCTGATGGCGTGAATCCAAGGAGGAGGGTCTTCCTGTCTGAAGCCCCACAGGTTGGAAGTGGGGACGTGGAGATGAAAACCCAGCTCCCCTGGCCCCTGCCCCTGCCCCAGGGTATAAACGGAAACACTCCGAACCCCTCGGACCGGCTGTGACCCCAGGGGTCTGGGCGGGGTGGGAGGGGTAGGGCTGAGTCAGCACGGAAGGGGTAGGGTGGTGACCCAAGGAGGGACACGACGCTCACTTACGTAGGCTGGGCAGGCGTTTCTAGAAGCCCAGGCCTGCTGACCTTTAAGCATTCCAAGCTCAGACCCACGCCAAGGCCTTCATGCTCGCAGCTGCCTCTGCCTGATCTCAAATACCTCCCCCTTTACTCCCCCTTCCCCCCGCCATCACATCACCCTATTGTCCTCCCTTCGTGACATCACCGCCCAAGTTTATGTTTGCTTGTTTATTATGTGTGTCCTGCCGGGTGGCCTGTGGAGGCGGGGGCTTCGGCTGCCCCACACCCCACTGTGTGCCCAGCACCCCAACCATCCTGGGGCATCAGTGAGTGCGGAGAGGGAATGGGTCAGTGGGGACAGGGGGTGTGTAGGGCATGTTTCACAGATGTCCTGGGAGAGGGTGCGGAGAGGAGAGGAAGGGAGAAGCAGTGGGGTGAAGGCCCGGGGGGGAATGAGCGAAGTTTTGGGAGAATCAAGGAAAATCTTCTGCCAAAACCTGTGTGGCTCAGTGGATAGAGCGTCGGTCTGTGGACTGAAAGGTCCTGGGTTCGATTCCGGTCAAGGGCACGTACCTTGGTTGCGGGCACATCCCCAGTAGGGGGTGTGCTGGAGGCGGCTGATCGATGTTTCTCTCTCATCGATGTTTCTAGCTCTCTATCCCTCTCTCTTCCTCTCTGTGAAAAATCAATAAAATATATATATTTTTTTTTTTAAAAAAAAGAAGGAAAAATCTCCTGTGACCCAGGGGTTATGCGGACCAGCCTGGGAGCACAGCAGGAAGGGAAACACATTTCCGTGTCCAGGTCCGGGGCTTGGGGGGCCTGTCTGAAGCCCCGCAGGTTGGGGGTGACGAGGTTGAGATGAGAACACAGTTCTCTCGGCTCCTGGCGCCTGGCCCCTCCTCCAGTTCACGGTGAAGACGCTCAGGGTCTCTCCAGCAGCGGAGGGTCACGCTGAGAGAAGTACGTCCGTCAGGGAAAGACAAGCGTCCCACGGTCACACACGCCTGTGGAATGCAAGTAACAAAATACACGGGTGAATGGAGGGGACCCAGAGACATGGAACAAAGTGGGGAATCTCAGAGGGAAGGCGGGGAGGGCGGGTGGGTCGGTGGGAGGTTGGTTACCTTGTATGCATAGATCCATAACCCATGGACACGGACAATAGGGTGGTGAAGAGGGGGGACAGGCTACAGGGAGTCACTGGGGGGCGGGGGAGAGGACATACGTGATACTTTCGATAATAAAGAATTATTTTTTATTTATTGTTTGAAGTATTAGAAATAGTAGAACATATGTCTCCTTTTCCCCTGTCGACCTCTCCCCGGCCTCCCCCTTGCCCCTGGCACATGCCCTCACCCTCCTAGTGTCTGTATCCATTGGTTATTTATCCTTAGATGTATGCATACACGTCATCTGGTTGCTCTCTTACTCCCCCCGCACCCCTCTCCCTTCCCCTGGCCTTCCCACTGAAGTTTGACAGTCTGTTCCATGCTTCTTTGTCTCTGGCTCTATTTTTGTCCATCAGTTTATGTTGATCATTAGATCCCACAAATGAGTGAGATCATGTGATGTTTATCTTTCTCCGACTGGCTTTTTTCGCTTAGCGTAATGCTCTCCAGGTCCATCCATGCTGTGGCAAATGGTAAGAATTCCTTCCTTTTTGCCACAGCGTAGTATTCCATTGGGTAGATGTACCAGTTTTCTCATCCACGCAGCTGCCGATGGGCACTTAGGCTGTTTCCAGATCTCAGTTATGATGAATTGTGCTGCTATGAACATCGATCGGCATGCCTATATCGTTTCTGATCGGTGTTTCTAGTTTCTTGGGATATATTCCTAGAAGGGGGGTTACTGGGTCAAATGGAAGTTGCATTTTTAATTTTTGAGGGAACGCCAAACATTTAAAAAGAATAATAAAAAAAGAGAAATATTTCTCACCTTCAAAGTATTTTTTTCTTTCAAGAAAATCTCCAGTAGTCAGGCTCCCCTCCTGCCCTCTAGGCCCTCCCCCATCCATCTGGGGAAACCCCCATTTCTAAGCACCCAGTGTGGCCCCAGAGCTCCCACGGCAGCTGGGTCCCTCGGACAACCCCCTCCCCCCCACCCCTCTGCCCCCTCCCCTCCCCCCCCCAACATCACGCTCACCAGCTGCCCGAGCTCCTTCTGAAACTCAAGTCTGTTCACCTCACTCATCCGCCTAAACCAGCCCTGAGAGACAGCAGCTCGTCAACGTGATTTAATGGGCCCTGGCTTGGAGGTAATTTTATTTTCTTCTCTGTGCTTCTCTTGACCTGCCAGCGTCGGCACAACGAGCATTCGATACTTCAGCAATCTGAAAAAGACAGCCCACAACTTCTTAGACCCCTCTCATTTTGCCATGATACTATTATATCTAAACACCTTCAGCCACCCAGGCAAGATTCCCCGCCTGTCTATTGAATTATCTCTCTGGCTGTTTTAATTCTTTCTGCAAACCCTTTATTTTCTAGCACAGAGAACTGCGGCTCTGTTGACTGAGGCGTTTGCCGACCCCTGGGATCGGAGCTTAATCACAAGGAACAACAACAGCCTGTGATTATTGGAATCGAGAGTCTAGGTCAGTGGTCGGCAAACTCATGAGTCAAACAGAGCGGCAAACCGCGGCTCACCAGCCGCGTGTGGCTCTGGAGCCACGGTTTGCTGACCACTCATTATAAACTACAGAATCTCAGGACCTGCTCAAGAGTCTAGTTCCGAGGTCAATGAACTGCAGCTCGAGAGCCACCGGCGGCTCT